CCCAGTATCTGGCATTTTCTTTCTACTATAATTGGTAGTTGGTTGCTAAAAGCTTAGCACTCCACGTGCAGGTGTAACGTCGGGGCGCAAAATCACTTGTATACGACTTGAATACTGGTCAGGGGGTTGTAAACAGTAGAGCAGCTCTTCGCTGCGATCTGCTGAGACTTAGCCCTTGATCGGATGATTTGTCTTTTTTATATACTATAGAAATGTTTATCCAAGTGCCGTAGGCCAGAGTGCATTGTCAAAAGTAGAGGCAATCAAATTTCACCCCAGGCAATCAAATTTCACCAGGCATTTTTGGTTTATGAGTCTGTGACGATCCGATTAAAAATTGCCTCAGGCAAAGTAGACCAAAGTGCAATTGACCAAGTGTCGTAGGGTTCAGGCAATAGGGTTCCCCCAGGCAATCAAATTTCACCAGGCATTTTTGGTTTATGAGTCTGTGACGATCCGATTAAAAATTGCCTCAGGCAAAGTAGACCAAAGTGCAATTGACCAAGTGTCGTAGGGTTCAGGCAATAGGGTTCCCCCAGGCAATCAAATTTCACCAGGCATTTTTGGTTTATGAGTCTGTGACGATCCGATTAAAAATTGCCTCAGGCAAAGTAGACCAAAGTGCAATTGACCAAGTGTCGTAGGGTTCAGGCAATAGGGTTTTTGGTTTATGTGTCTGTGACGATCCGATTAAAAATTGCCTCAGGCAAAGTAGACCAAAGTGCAATTGACCAAGTGTCGTAGGGTTCAGGCAATAGGGTTCCACCAGGCAATCAAATTTCACCAGGCATTTTTGGTTTATGAGTCTGTGACGATCCGATTAAAAATTGCCTCAGGCAAAGTAGACCAAAGTGCAATTGACCAAGTGTCGTAGGGTTCAGGCAATAGGGTTCCCCCAGGCAATCAAATTTCACCAGGCATTTTTGGTTTATGAGTCTGTGACGATCCGATTAAAAATTGCCTCAGGCAAAGTAGACCAAAGTGCAATTGACCAAGTGTCGTAGGGTTCAGGCAATAGGGTTCCCCCAGGCAATCAAATTTCACCAGGCATTTTTGGTTTATGAGTCTGTGACGATCCGATTAAAAATCCCCCCCCCCCCAGTCAATCAAATTTACCCAAGGCAATCAAATAATCGACTCAAGTAAAATATATACTCAAGTAAAGGTATGTATATATAAACTACAATTTATAAAAAAGTTAAATAATTGTTTTCTATAGACTCAAGTGTGTTTTCTTAGACTCAAGTTTTTGCCAAAGCATTAAAAAAAGATTACGACACCCCCGATTCCCAGGACGTCTCCGTTCCAAGTACTAAGGAAGCCCAGCGTTGCTTAACTTGCCAGATCGGACGGGATGGCGTGCTTTCAACGCGGTAAATTGCCTCAGGCAAAGTAGACCAAAGTGCAATTGACCAAGTGTCGTAGGGTTCAGGCAATAGGGTTCCCCCAGGCAATCAAATTTCACCAGGCATTTTTGGTTTATGAGTCTGTGACGATCCGATTAAAAATCCCCCCCCCCCAGTCAATCAAATTTACCCAAGGCAATCAAATAATCGACTCAAGTAAAATATATACTCAAGTAAAGGTATGTATATATAAACTACAATTTATAAAAAAGTTAAATAATTGTTTTCTATAGACTCAAGTGTGTTTTCTTAGACTCAAGTTTTTGCCAAAGCATTAAAAAAAGATTACGACACCCCCGATTCCCAGGACGTCTCCGTTCCAAGTACTAAGGAAGCTCAGCGTTGCTTAACTTGCCAGATCGGACGGGATGGCGTGCTTTCAACGCGGTATGGTCGTAATCACTGTGTTTTCAATTTCTCAATATTTAAGAAAAAATTCTCTAAGGCAAAGTGGGCGGGGCTATTTGTTGTTCGCTGTTCGCGGGAATGGTTTAAGGCAAAAAGAAAATGGGCAATTATAAAAATGTGTGGGAGGAAAATTAGGATTAAAAAAATTTTTTTGAAGAATTAAATTTTTTAAAAAAAATAAAGCTTATAATAATAAACTTTAATCTTTTTTTAAATTTAAAGTTTATTATTATAAGCTTTATTTTTTTAAAAAATTTACTGTTATTATTATATTAAGCTTTATTATCAGTTTATTTTAAAGCAGCTTTATTCTAAATCTGATAATAATCATAAGCTTTATAATCCTAATTTTTCTCCAGCTGCAATATTTATTTGGCTCCAGACAATTGTCAGGAATTGCCATTGATAACTTTTGTGAAAGTGCCGCTGATAAATTGTAAATAATTTAGATATCTTTTGCAAAGGAAATTAAATATATAATAAGCTGTCATTAATTTTTAATTTCAGATTATTTTCGAGATTTTATTCCAAAATTATCAATATAATCAATATTAATGACAGCTTAATTACCCGCAGACTGGGTAATTCCAGCTCTGCTAACTACCTAAATAAAAGATATCTGGTTGATCCTGCCTGAACTGATGTGTTCATTTCAAAGATTAAGCCATGTATGTATAAGTTTAATCGTTTTAACGAGAAACCGCGAACGGCTCATTACAATGGCCATGATTTACTTGATCTTGATTATCTAAATG